CCTGACCACCAACACCACCTGACCACCAACACCACCTGACCACCCACACCACCTGACCACCCACACCACCTGACCACCCACACCGGACCACCCACACCATCTAACCACCCACACAGACTACCCACACATACTGACCACCCACACAGACTACCCACACATACTGACCATCCACACCATCTGACCTCCCACACCATCTCACCACCCACACCATCTGACCACCCACACCTATCCACCCACCCCATCTAACCACCCACACCATCTGACCAGCCACACCATCTGACCACCCACACACCTGACCAGCAACACCATCTGACCACCCACACCTGACCAGCAACACCATCTGACCTCCCACACCATCTCACCACCCACACCATCTCACCACCCACACCTATCCACCCACCCCATCTAACCACCCACACACCTGACCAGCTACACCATCTGACCACCCACACACCTGACCAGCAACACCATCTGACCAGCCACACCATCTAACCACCCACACACCTGACCAGCAACACCATCTGACCACCCACACACCTGACCAGCAACACCATCTGACCAGCCACACCATCTAACCACCCACACACCTGACCAGCAACCTGACCACCCACACCATCTGACCAGCAACACCATCTGACCACCCACACCATCTGCCCACCTACATCTGACCACCCACACAACCTTACCACCCACACCTGACCACCCACACCATCTAACCATCCACACCTGACCACCAAAAACTGACCACCCACACCCTCTGACCCCCCCCCCCCCCAACTGACCATGCTATATCGAACACTGTGTATTATCGATCTAAGTGAACTCCTGTACCAGCACTACTCTACATTTCCCACTGGTCTAGGAATCCATGTCAACACGACACACACGGAATATACACGAACACTTCATCTCTTTCACAATACATCAAACTGTAGACATTACTAGGATCTTACGACATCGATTCTAAATAGGTTGCCAGACATTGATATATATATATATATATGCATATATATATATATATATATATATATATATATATATATATATATATATATATATATATATAGGCCCAAAAAATGTTCGGGGGGAGGGGGGAACTCTAGTGTGAACTCTAAATAATACTTTTTAAAGGACATAACAGATAGGCACAAAAAGAGAGAGGGAGAGAGGGGGAGAGGGGGGGGGGGGGGGGAGAGAGAGAGAGAGAGAAAATATACAATTTCGGCTAAGCTTGCTATACTGTATCATAAATAGCATGTACCTTGATCGACATAGGGACTAAATTATTTTCAATTGATCAATCAATTTTACAGTAGATATACTAATCGATTAGCCGATGTAAAAAATGTTCTGATTTTATTTTATACTACTGCTAAAACTGAAACGCAATGTGTGAAATATTTTAAATAGACCAAATATTTTATGTTGCTGTTTTTGGCTAAGCTAGTTTGGGGGTTGTGAAGCGACATTTAAAAACATGTGGAAAATCGGTTGGCTCTTTCTCGTTTGGTGCGCCAATGGTTTCGTTGGATCCGCTGCTACTACGCATGCGCATGCGCAAAACGGAAACGTCACTTCCGAGTCGACGGCGGACGAGCGAAACTCCACCCACAGTCCTGGGTTCAAATCCTCTTCAGACGCAGACTCCGATTTCCGGATGCGGTTACTTCACGACCAGGCGGAATACTTCAAGGGTCGGATTTTCTCCAGAGTCGTGACCTACGGAAATGACGTCACGGCGTCGGGAGATAGAGCTAACAATTCTACTCAAACCGGAAGTGGTGTGTTAAAATCAAACAAAACCACAAATATCGAAAAAACCAAACCTGAGCCAACCCATGAACTACCGGTGATACAGGATGGTAGTCATGGTAACGAAAACAGACCGCTGGTATATAAAAAAGACGTCCGAATAGGCGTGTTGTTGCCGTATAGCATCGACAGGCCGTTCTCTGTTTATCACGTGTCACCTGCGCTGGAGAAGGCAGTGGAGATGCTGACGACGGAGATGGGGCCTTGGAACTTCTTGAGGTAAGATACTTTATTAACTTTCAATTCAATAATTATATATACATATGTTTTGTCTTCTTTTAGAAAGAACTGTTAAGAATTAAGTCTCCTAGTTTTTAAGTCTCATATGTTATAAATATAGGTTTACATTTATTGAAGTAATGTTCATCTTTAGATTTCGCGATCCTTTGAGAAGACGAAGTAGTGTTCATGTTTTGTTGACCTTGGTATATGAAGGGATGGTATGGTCAGCACTATGCCCAGCCGCCTTTACTTTCCCCAATATGAGTTAGGTACCCATCTTAGCTGAGTGGACTCAATGACGTCTGTCTTAAGTCCGAATCGAGATTCGAACTCGAAATCCCCGCGCTTGCAGCAGAACGAAGTTACTTATAGATTGTTAATTATTCAAGTTAAAAATGTTAACACGTGTTAATTTAAAAGAAGGAAGAAAATACAACATAGTAAAGAACTTGATAATAGTATGAACCAATAAATCAAATTACTTAAGGAAACTGATCATAGCTATATATAAACATTTAAAATCATCTATCAAAGCCCGATAGCCGTGTCCCTTAGCGTCTGATTAAAACACGTTCTAATATTAGTATATCTCATTTTTAGGGTCTGTAGTCGTTATTCCGATGTACCTGTCTTCTCCCGAGTTTCTGCTTAAAACACGGGTTCCCAACCTGGGGGTCGCGACCCCCCTGGGGGTCGCGAAGGTCTTTCTGGGGGGTCGCAAACTGGTATACTAAACCTTAGTAATTTGAAACAAAACATAAATATTTAGAAGAATTTTTGAAATTCGGCTTCATTAACATCACTGGAAATGTAATAGAGAAGAAACAAAGCGCACTGTACAAAGTTGTTCTCAGTCACGAATCTATGAAATCTTCAAAACTAAAACGTCATTTGAGACGAGTCATTCGGAACACACCAAAAAATATATGGAGTTCTTTCGTCGGTAAGAAGCTAGTTGCAAACGCCAGAGACTTGATCGAACAGGACGTTTTCACCAGCATTAGTGCAAGCATCAAATGAAGTCGCGATAGAAAATGCCAAGCAAAAAAAAAAAAAAAAAAACAATAGGAGAAAATCTCATCAAACGCTGCATTTAAATGTAAAATGTAAATGTTAAATAACAAATTTTTATTGAAATTAAGCTTTCACCATTGTTTGCTTTTCAAGTTGATAAATCAACACACGTGAGTTCGTGTTCGCAGTTGCTGCTATTTGTCTATATTCATTCATGTGTTAGCAAAGATGAGTTGCTCTTTTGTGAAGATTGCATGGAGAAAATAAATATCTTTTTTGAAACTGGATGATTAAAATGGGTTAGAACGGCTGTGGGGGTTTGTACGGATGGCGCGCCATCTATGTTTAGCTCAAAATCGGGCTTTCAGAAAACAGAAAAGATTTAGCTCCCTAACCACTGCCCTAACCAATCGACATCAAGAGTCCATTGCTAGTATAAGTCGTAAATTATATAAAATCTGGAGCCTTCAAAGAACTGAGCAAAAACATTAAAATAGATCAGGATGTTCTGCTCTTCTACACTACAGTACGCTGGCTGTCAAACGAAATGTTAATTGTGTTTTTGAATAGAAATCGGAAATCAAATTGTTCTTGGAAGTGCAAAGGAAACAAGACTTTTTGGTATACTTAAAACGACATAGAGTGGTTGGAGAGAGTAACATACCTAGCAGATGTGTTCGAACATCAAGATAAGCTTAACCTGAAGCTTCAGGGAAAATGAACGAATATTATAACTTTCCATGATAATCTCGGGGCATTTTTATCAAAACTGCAAAATCGGTACAAAATATGATCTTGGAAATATTGTAAATTTGAGAAACTCTGCGGTGTGGTAGATGAATCTGATTGTGAGATAATTAAAATTTTGAAAGAAGCAATTTCTGGGCATCTTGAATCTCTTGAAAACGAACTGCATCGCTATTTCTCTGAGCTGAAAAAAAGAAGAATCTGCATTTACGCATTACCCATTATCTTCTTTCCTTGATGTTGCCAGCATTCCCGATGATTTACAAGATGAATTCTTTGATTTGCAGAATGATTCCGAGTAAGATGAAAAACTGCAGACACAATTTTGGTGTAGTATTCACCATTCATACCCAAACGTAAAATTGATTGACTTTTCGAGAAGATATTTTCAACACTATTCTTCGATTACAAACAAAATTAAGATAATTATAATGACATAGGTTGGCGTTAACAAAAAAAAAATAATTAAAAAGTTAACCACGAAGGTTTAGTGAATAGTATGCAATTTTACCCTTGCAATTAAAACAGTTATCAAGAGTAGTTCATATTGAAAGTCTACCAGAAAATCTTATTTTAGTGCTTATTAATTTCCATACTGATTTCGGTTTTTTAATTCTATGGGGGTCGCGGGTCACTTAATTTTTATAAAAGGGGGTCGCCACTCGAAAAAGGTTGGGAACCACTGGCTTAAAACATGTTCTAATGGTAGTCTATCTAAGCCTGTCTTCAGACGTTATGCTAACGCAGGGGCGTAGCGAGGAGGGGGGGGGGGCGGGGGGTGCGGACCGCACCGGGTGACACCATTTAGGGGGGTGACACCAAGGAAAAAAATAGCAAAATATATGGAGAAAAAGTTAAAGGGGGGGGGTGCAAATCGAAAGTTAGAGGGGGGGGTGCAAATTGAAAACTTGAGGGGGGGGGGGTGCAAATCGAAAGTTTGAGGGGGGTGCAAATCGAAAATTTGAAAGTTTGTCCCCGGGAAGGGTCGCTACGCCTCTGGGGGGGGTGACACCATTAAGTGCCGTACCGGGTGACACCCTACCTCGCTACGCCACTGTGCTAACGTACCTGTCTTCTCCCGAGTTTCTAATTGTAGTATATCTAATCCCAACTGTCTTCAGACGTTATACTAACGTGTCTGCCTTCTCCCGAGTTTCAGCCTGACTCTACTGTACGCTGACTCCAAGTGTAACATAGCCGAGGCCATGGCACAGGCCATCAACTTCCGGGAGAGGAACCACACGGAAGTTTTCTTCGGGCCGGTCTGCGACTACGCCGTGGCGCCGGTCGCACGTCAGGTATTGGTTGTTTCTTTTAGGTATACTCTGCTTCACCTGCTATGTGTCTGAATTCGTGGTTGTGAGGAAGAGTGGTTAACCCGAGTGTATTGAGTTCGGTTTATGAGCCTGTATGAGTGACTTACCAGATAGTTGATATTGGGGTCTTCTCAAAATAGCAGTTACCTCAATTAATAAATAAGCTCAAAGGCATAGGACAGGTGAAATAGTTTTCATAACTCATTATCAAACTGTAACTTTCTTGTCGAAATTCTATTTTGGGTTACAAAGTAGAGTCAATCTATTCCAGCGACCATTGGGATACATGAGGTATAGTGTAGTCAGCACTATACACGACAGCCGTTACTTTCTCAAACGTGAGTCAGGTACCCATTAGAGCTGGGTAGACTCAGGGATGTCCTACATACTCAAGCCCAGCTTTCTTAAGTGCATGTGTTTTAATATATATCCTTTTACATTACAAATAAAACCGCATGTAGTTTATTTTTTATTAATTCATTGCAATTCTATTCACGACATCGAAGGCTTATTTTTTTATCTTATTTTTTTAATGTGTATATTGTATACGCCCTATTAAGAACGTTCTATTATTTGACATGTTATATAGACTAGAGAAACGTCTAATCTACAACCTGAGCTTCTCAAATTCAAATTAGTGTCCTACACAATAAACAAAAGGATGTATATATATATATTTGTTTTAATCGTTACATCAAAAGATTTCTCATATTGTTATCTACTTATCTGAGAATGAACCGCCCATTCATACACCAATCCAACCTCTCCACTCTAAATTATCCATTAAGCAGTGCACATTTCTCTATCACTGACTCTCTCACTCCCCTTCATACACCTCTCCCATCTCTCTAGTGGTATTCAATAAGTAGTGCCCATTTCTCTTTTACTGACTAACTCTCTCTTTCTCACTTCCTCTCTCCCCCAGGCCAAGTACTGGCAGATTCCAGTCATGACGGCTGGAGCCTGGGCCTTCGACTACACCCATTTTAAGAAAGACACCTTCACTACGCTGATACGTGTGGGGGCCACTAATGCCCAGGCATCTGTAGGTAAGGGGATAAGCATGAGGTAGTAGCATCTCACCTGAACAGTAGCACAAGATCTGAGTAGTAGCACACCATTTCATCAGCAGCACCACATCGCGTCGCAGATTGACAGTAGCACAATACCTAACAGTAGCACATCACACAGGGCAGCAGTACAACACCTGGACAGTAGTACATCCCACCTGGGCAGTAGTACAACACCTGGGCAGTAGTACAACACCTGGGCAGTAGTACAACACCTGGGCAGTAGTACAACACCTGGGCAGTAGTACAACACCTGGGCAGTAGTACAACACCTGGGCAGTAGTACAACACCTGGGCAGTAGTACAACACCTGGGCAGTAGTACAACACCTGGGCAGTAGTACAACACCTGGGCAGTAGTACAACACCTGGGCAGTAGTACAACACCTGGGCAGTAGTACAACACCTGGGCAGTAGTACAACACCTGGGCAGTAGTACAACACCTGGGCAGTAGTACAACACCTGGGCAGTAGTACAACACCTGGGCAGTAGTACAACACCTGGGCAGTATTACAACACCTGGGCAGTAGTACAACACCTGGGCAGTAGTACAACACCTGGACAGTAACACAACACCTGGACAGTAGCACATCACCTAGACAGTAGTACATCCTACCTGGGCAGTAGCACAACACCTGGGCAGTAGCACAACACATGAGCAATAGAAAAACACCTGGACAGTAGCACATCGCCCGGAAAATAACACCACACCTGGATAGAAGCACAACACATTATTAGTAGCACAACACAACACCTAAGAAGTAGCACCACACAACACATGAGGTTATTGAGTGCTGGTGATATATTCTCCTGTATCACATGTAGCAAACAAAGCCAATTCTAAACATCAAAGGGTAGTAACACAAGTCCAGTCTACGGTCATCACTTCCGAATACATTGTCCCCATCCCCACATTGTCCCCATCCCCACATTGTCCCCATCCCCACATTGTCCCCATCTCTACATTGTCCCCATCCCCAACCCAGCCCATAATAATTACACCCTTTAAAAAATACACATTTTTTTTCTATTTTATTAGAAAAACTGAGAAACCCGTCATACACAGGGGGTGCTTGGCAGAGTGATAAGGGGGGGGGGGTGCTATTGTTGAGAGGTGGGGAATGGTGTAGTTAACTTTGTCGATATCCTGCTCCCTGAAGATTTACATGGCACTATTTTTTGTTAAAGGTTTACACGTAAAAATTTATTTTAAAAATATGATCGCTCAGCCATGAAAAAAAAAACAGTTCACATTCGAAAAAGATTAAGCACGACCAACAAACAAACATACAAACGAACAAAAAAAACATTGAGTGTGAACTTAGGAGAAGTTTAAAAATAGTCACTAATCATGGTAAATTAAATCGGTAAACAGACAATTTGAACAAGTTAAACGTAAATTTATCGGTACACCGCCCCCAGACTAACCCATAAAATTCTGTGTAAGTTCCACTTATCCCATCAGTTGTTTAATGGATGTTCTAAAATAGAAAACAGATATGTCTGATATATTTTTATTCCACTTTCTGATCTTCTAGAACTAGCAAAAACATCACGCGTAAATTGTTAATATGCCTACATGTTGGGCGAGGTGGGCGGGGGATGCGGACCGCACCGGGTGACACCATTTAGGGGGGTGACACCAAGGCAAAAAATAGCAAAATATATAGAGAAAAATGATAATTCCACTTAATTAAGTGATTAATTCCAGTGTTAAATAGTCTTTTAAGAGGTGCAAATCGAAAGTTTGAGTGGGGTGCAAATCGAAAGTTTGAGGGGGGGGGGGGGGGAGGAGGGGCAAATCGAAAGATTGAAGGGGGGGGGGGTGCGTATCGAAAGTTTGACGGGGGGGGTGCACATCGAAAATTGAAAGTTTGTCCCCGGGAAGGGTCGCTACGCCTCTGGGGGGTGACACCATTAAGTGCCGCACCGGGTAACACCCGACCTCGCTACGCCACTGCTACTGCATAAGGGATTTGTATTACAATTTAAATAAAACAATAGACCAGTGGTTCCCAACCTTTTTCGAGTGGCGACCCCCTTTTATAAAAATTAAGTGACCCGCGACCCCCATAGAATTAAAAAGCCGAAATTAGTATGGAAATCAATAAATTTCAAAAATTCTTCTAAATATTTGTTTTGTTTCAAATTACTAATGTTTAGTATACCAGTTGGCGACCCCCCAGAAAGCCCTTCGCGACCCCCAGGGGGGTCGCGACCCCCAGGTTGGGAACCCGTGCAATAGACGATACAACGCTGCCTACATATACTGTGTAGAGACTAAATGAAACTAATTTTTTCCTATGCAATCTAAAATATAAGGAGCAATATTGACCAGGCTCGTTTTGTAGAATATCGACGTTAAAATAATTGTTAAAATTCATTTACCTCAAAACGACTCTTTTCTAAATATCTGTTATTAGTATCATTAGTATTTCTTTGTCTATTTAACTGTTCATCATCGTTTAATTAGTGCATCTGGTATTTTAAAAACGAAGTAAACGTCTATTAAATGTCTATCGGTGAATGTAATACTTATTTTACTTAGGCAGTATTTGAAGACTGAGGTAGATACATCGATTTGTCGCACATTAATATTTTTTAGTTACTGAAATAAAAAAAAAATGGGACGTGATGGCCTGGCGGTAGATAGTTATACTGCTAACCCGAAAGTCTCGAGTTCGAACACGGGTTCAAATCAGTAGACCGTCCCTGAGTCCACCCAACTCTGATGGGTACCAAATTCACGTTAGGGAAATTAAAGGCGGCTGGGCATGATGCTTACAACCCCATCATACGCCCAAGTCACAGAAACAGGCGAACTCTACTTCACTCGCCCCGTAGTCCGTCATGTTTGAAATGGAACTCTAACAGACGTACACTAAGAGAAGTTCCCTTTCATGGGTTACGCTGTTTAAGTAAACTTCGAATTTCCCACAAGGGAAACTTAATTTTACCGAAATAAAAAAAAAGTAAACGTTATAAACAGAAACACGGAAATCATGCCCCCACCCTCTTCAACACCCCCTCTTGAGATTTACATTAGTATTCTACCTTCTACTTCCCCAGAAATGCTGGATGCTATCGCAAGAAAGAACAACTGGACCCGCATCAGAACACTGTACCACTCCAGTGGTCAAGACAACTACATGCCTGGGTTCTGCCACCTGTGGATGGAATACTTCCACTATTACCTCAAGTTGTCGAATCGCAACATTGTCATGGTGGGTTGTTTGTTCTTATACATTGATTTGTTTTTATACGTCCTGTTTTTATTCGAGGTCTAAATAATTATACATGCATGAAAGTAGTGGGTAAAATACTTTCAATAATGCGCCAAGTTGTCACATAGCAACATTGTCATGGTGGGTTGTTTTTTGTTATACATTCATTTGTTTTTACACGTCCTGTTTTTATACATGAATTCAGTGGGTAAAATACTTTCACTATTACCTCAAGTTGTCGAATCGCAACATTGTTATGGTCGGTTGTTCTCTAACATTGTTTTGTTTTTATACGACACGTTTTTATTCGAGGTCTAAATAATTATACATTCATGAATTCAGTGGGTAAAATACTTTCACTATTACCTAAAGTTGTCGAATCGCAACATTGTCATGGTGGGTTAGTTGTTCTTATACATTGATTTGTTTTATACGTCCTGTTTTTATTCGAGGTCTAAATAATTATACATACATGAACTTAGTGAGTAAAATACTTCCACTATACCTCAAGTTGTCGAATCGCAACATTTTCATGGTGGGCTATTTTCTTTTGTGTCGTATCCTTCAAGTAATGTTATTTTTTTTCACAACCCAATTTTTTTCCACTACATTCCTGTTTTAGGAGCACTACAAACTGGACAGCTCGCATTCAATGCCTAACCTTGGTCACACGCTGAAGAGAGAAGTCGGCACCGACTATGCAAGTAAGATTTTAATACATTTAAATACATTTGAATAAATTTGCATACATTCTTGCCTTGTTGTCTTATCTCTGGTCTTATCTTTTCAACGCGAAATGTCTTTAAATTATGTAGATAAACTGCAGTCGAGATTTATTTAAAGCACTAAGAAAAATATCGGTCAACATTTGTTATATGCATGTATTCTGAAGACTATAAACATAGGAAGTTTTCAATGTATTGTGATCAATGTATAGGTAACAAATAATTTATTGTAATACATTGTGCAAGATTACGTGTACAAATTTACAAATTAATTAAAGCAATATTTTAATTAGGCTTCTTAAGGTAAGTTTGTTTTAAAAACTTTTCTTGAACCCGTTTTTTTAATATCCCTAGTGTTTAATCGGCAACACCTTATGCGTGACGAATATGATCATATAAATAAATATACGTGCATACGCGAATACAGTGTGTTTATATGTATACACATATATTTTATGTTTTTGTTTTGTTTTATGTTTACATGACAATGTTAACAACACAACGATGTTATCAAATATTTCTACCATGTTGTTTTTATAATATTTTTTTTATATAAAATGTGAATTTCTCTCATTTTGACTCAACTGAGTATTAATCGACGACGCCTACATTGTTCAATATTTAGAAACATTCGCCTTCATTTTTTATGTGATCATGCTTTATATGATCATGGTGTTGTGGATAGATCAAGGTAAACACATATCATCTGTATAGTACTGGTCTGGTATTTGTAATATGAATATTTGTATGCTATGATCTTTGCTCAAATGTGCTGGTAACTGATAACGTTAACATGACATACAGTGTTGTTTTTTATTTCATTTTTTAACAAAGAAAATGGTGGATTGGATTGTAGGATGTGTTTCCAAGATAACCCATACATACATATCTATCTAGATATATACAAAGCCGTTTTTATTTTCTCCGTTGACTAGATCTGTTTAACAAAGAAGTCGGGTAACTATTATCTAGATATTTACAAAACCGATTTTTACCGTTTAAAATGTTATGCTTTGGTGTTTTAAAGAACTACAATTCTGTTTAATATTACTTACTTAATGCTTTTCTCGTAAAACGATTAGTTATTATTTTACTGCATAAAACCAATATACTACTATAATACACATTTTATTTTATTTCGTTTAGTGCCATTTTTTTGAATGTACATCCATCAAGCATGTGTTTTATTTTTACCATTAAAAATACGAAAACCCTAAAGACATATTTTTTAAGAGAAACCGTTATCTAAAAATAATTACCTTATTGAGGAAATTCGTTACACTCTTTGTTTTGTAAGAGAGGTAACCGGTATAATTCTAATGTCCCCACCGGTTGCGCTGGAGTTGTCTCTTTTTGAAAAAAACTTAAGTAGTCTCCCTTTTTCAATCTTTATTGGAAAAAAAAAAGTAGTACTAAGGGAAGCAACTCAAGTACAGTTTAAAAAACAAAAAGTTAATTCTAGTCCGATGTATAATGCGATTACTTGAAACTGTTGTATTGGCGGTGAATGAAAAGTGTGTTGGATTGATGTAGTATAACTGGGTAAAACATGGCATTTATATTATCTTTCCTGCTAGATTATAATAAGACATTTTTTTGTTCACTCATGCCCTATACAGCCATAATATGTTTCTTACTATAATAGTTGTATAAAGTAAAAAGTAAAAGTAATCCTGTCAATTCTTCGGTAACGCTTTCGTACATAAAAATTGCATTTTCATTTTAATATAATATAGAATCTAGCTTACTTAGATAACAAAAAATTACATGAAGCAACAGTATCGTACAATCGTTTGAAATTATACTTTATATTGTTAAAAAAATATCTTACAATCATTTGAAAAAAAAAAATTATATTGTTAAAAAATATATCACTTTGCATGAGAACAACAAACTTATGTATGTCGTTGCGCAACTGCGGATAGATATTATGATTGCATTGAACATGGGCTTTTAATAAACATTTAAAGGGAACCAACTATTGTTTTAAAGTTATTTAATACCACGTAAGTTGTCTTCCCTGTTACTATTTTTAAAAATACCTGCAAGTTGTTCTTATACACAATAACATCAATCTTTGCGCTAGTGGTTTTTATGTTTTTTTTTTTTTTTTTTTTTTTTTTTTTTTTTTTTTTTTGCGAGATTTAAAAATAAATTACCTGTTCAAATTTTTTAAACTTTTTTTTAAAAATATTGCCTTATATATGCTCGATGAATAAAAAAAAATATGTAAATGTATTAGAGTTGAAAATATCTACTTCGCCTTATCCTTTTTATTCTTTGTGAAGTAACGTGCCTCAACTATAATCTTCCAATTTCTCCATAACACGAAATGAAATAGTTACTTGATGTATGTGTAGTTTGCTAGTCAAAATTCAAGGTGTTGTGTGCTTATTTTTTTTTTAGTAGTAACACTCGTTTTAATTTTATTTAGTTTTGTTTGAACGTCATTTAATAAAGCCTCTGGTAAAATTTTAGGTCCTTACGAAGAAAAAAAAACAATCAATGATCTGCACTTGAGTTGCTTTTTTTAAAAATTTACAATTCTATTTCCAAATTACAACTTCGCTGGCTTAGTACCAGATTATACAACAACATTTTGTGAAGTGTGTCAGAATAGCCTAGCGAGCTATATCTCATTAGCACCATGATTCAACCAGTCATTAAAGATACTCTCTACTTCCCATTAAACGGTAAGAAATCAATTCGTTAATACAAATCTGGTGTTTTGTTTTTGGAAGTCGATTTTTTAAAATTACGCCAAATAATTATAACTAGATAAATGCCTATAAGTCAATAAACATATAGTGCGCATTGAACTAAAAAATCAATCCCCCCCCCCACACACACACTAAAAGCAAGCACTATTACCTTAATTCCCCGTTCCCCATGCATACAAACTACATGCACTACAAAACAGCTAAGTGAATAGCATAGGCTTCAATGGCAGAAAGATTAACAAAAGGGAGAGTACTCTAAATATATAAAGCGATACACAGGCTTATCTTTCTTCTAGGAGAGTTAGCTCTCTTTAAAATATTTCGGTTGATGAACTCGGTCTACACGATATTTCTTTTTGTACTTATTAATTTAAATACTTTAACACAATCCTTTTTGTCAATAGTATCAATACATTGATACTTACTCTAGTCCTTACCATTCCCTTAAACCTAACCCTTTGCCTATCTTTGCCTTAATCCTTCCTTTATCTGTTACCTAATCCTGACTTGAGTTCTAATCCTAAATCTAATTTTAAAACCCCGATACCAGCATTGTAAACAAATAATCGATACGATACTCGATTACCCTACTGGAGGCTAAACTACAATCATATGACTGTCCGTTGTTTGTTTGTTTTTTTTTGTTTTTTTTTTTTATTTTTTATTTTTTTTGGTTTTGAAAAGAAAAAAAAAGTACGATTTAAGTAGATTATGCTTTGAATTTAACAGGTAAAATCCCAGCGTTTCACGGTTCATTGATCGGCCGGCATACCTTGTGTTTGAGCGGGTGTAAGATTACATTGATTACATTGATGTAAGATTACACTGATCTGTGCGATCGATTGCTTCAGAAATCAGATCTCTATTATACATTTACAGGCAAGGTGTATCAGATGTGGTATCATATTTCAGATCCGTTTTGCTTATAAGACTAGCGCATGTATTACCAGAACGTTTTTAAGGCTATATTAATCGCTTTTTTTGCATGTGCCTATAAAAAGACTTCGAAGGGGGTCACTATATATATATATATATATATATATATATATATATATATATATATATATATATATATATATATATATATATATATATATATATATATATATATATATATATATATATATATATATATATATATATATATATATATATATATATATGAAGATCAAGTTGTGATAGCTTTCTATTTAAATGATAGAAATAATCTAGCTCAAAAAACTGGTAACGAAAATCAACACAGTTTTCCTGTTGGTACCTAACTTGTTTAGACTTATTATAGGTAAGATTCGAGTGAAGCTGTTTGTTAGATTGAAATGTTGATGAAAAGATTGTGATTGTATTTTTATTAATTGATTGATACTTCTTCAAGTTTATGATTATATCTTTCAGCTGTTAGATTTATAAATCCTGTCTGTAAGCTATTTGTTTTGTCGATATTTGTGGGTAGGCCTATATTAGACGCTTCCTATTTTTGGAGCGTTCTGAACCCTAGCTTTAGATAGTAGGTTGTTTGCTGATCGTTACGTCGTATGGTTCAAACCATTTGGTGTGATGGGTGTCAGGTAATAAAATCCCTTTGACATAAACCCCCCTGAACATAAACCCCACTGGACATAAACCCCCTGGACATAAACCCCCCTGGACATAAACCCCCTGAACATAAACCCCCTGAACACAAACCCCCCCCCAGACCATAAACCCCCATAAACATAAACCCCCTGAACATAAAACCCCCTGGACATAAACCCCCTGGACATAAGCCCCCCCTGGACATAAACCCCCCTGAACATAAACCCCCTGGACATAACCCCCCCCCCCCTGGACATAAACCCCGCCTGGACATAAACCCCCCTGAACATAAACCCCCTGGACATAAACCCCCTGGACATAAACCCCCCCCCTGGACATAAACCCCCCTGAACATAAACCCCCTGGACATAAACCCCCTGGACATAACCCCCCCCCCCCCCCCTGGACATAAACCCCCTGAACATAAACCCCCTGGACATAAACCCCTTGGACATAAACCCCTTTTGACGTAAAAAGTGTCTATAGTATGTAGAATTTAAACATAAAGCTCTAAAGAACTCAAACATCATTCATTCTAACAAAAAATAAATTAAATAAAAACAAACAATAGAAGACCTAGACATTCAAATGTCTGTTCTTTGTTTTTAATAACGTGAGCTTATTGTTCCTCTACTTGTCATGCCTCTCGCTGCTAATCCAGTTATAATCCATTAATCTGCTTAACGT